CCATCTGTTCCACAATCTCAGTAATGCCCTCTGCTCCACATAACCAGCGAGGCCGTTTGTTACACAAAACCAGTAAGGCCCTCTGGTCCTCAAAATATGAGACCCTTTGCTCCACGTAAACAGTGCGGCCCTCTGTTTCACACGATCAGTGAGGTCCTCTGTTCCACAAGACCAGCGAGGTCCTCTGTTCCACAAAATCAGTGAGGCCATCTGATCCACAAAATCAGTAAGGCCCTTTGCGCGACAAAACCTGTGAGGCCCTCTGTTCCACAAAACCAGCGAGGCCCTCTGTTTCACAAAATCAGTGAGGCCCTCTGTTCCACAAAATCTGTGAAGCCCTCTGATCCACAAAACCAGCGAAGTCCTCTGTTCCACAAAATCAGTGAGGCCATCTGTTCCACAATCTCAGTAATGCCCTCTGCTCCACATAACCAGCGAGGCCGTTTGTTACACAAAACCAGTAAGGCCCTCTGGTCCTCAAAATATGAGACCCTTTGCTCCACGTAAACAGTGCGGCCCTCTGTTTCACACGATCAGTGAGGTCCTCTGTTCCACAAGACCAGCGAGGTCCTCTGTTCCACAAAATCAGTGAGGCCATCTGATCCACAAAATCAGTAAGGCCCTTTGCGCGACAAAACCTGTGAGGCCCTCTGTTCCACAAAACCAGCGAGGCCCTCTGTTTCACAAAATCAGTGAGGTCAGCTGATCCACAAAATCAGTAAGGCCCTTTTCGTGACAAAACCTGTGAAGCCCTCTGCTCCACAAAATCAGTGAGGCCCTCTGTTCCACAAAATCTGTGAGGCCCTCTGATCCACAAAATCAGCGAAGTCCTCTGCTCCACAAAACCAGCGAGGCCGTTTGTTACACAAAATCAGTAAGGCCCTCTGGTCCTCAAAATATGAGACCCTCTGCTCCATGTAAACAGTGCGGCCCTCTGTTTCACAAGACCAGCGAGGTCCTCTGTTCCACAAAATCATTGAGGCCATCTGATCCACAAAATCAGTAAGGGCCTTTGCGCGACAAAACCTGTGAAGCCCTCTGCTCCACAAAATCAGTCAAGCCCTCTGTTGCCCAAAATCTGAGGCCGGCTGCTCCAAAAAATCAGTGAGACACTCTGTTCCAAAAAATCAGGAAGGCCCTGTGCTCCAGAAAATCAGTGACACACTCTGTTCCAAAAAAATAGTGAGGCACTCTGTTCGACAAAATCTGTGAGTCCCTATTCCAAAAAATCAGGAAGGCCCTCTGCTCGACAAAATATGCGCGACCCTCTCCTCCACATAAATAGTGGGGCCCTTTGTTCCACAAAATCAATAAGGCTCTTTGTTCCACAATCTCAGTAATGCCCTCTGCTCCACAAAATCAGTGATTCCCCCTGTTCCAAAAAATCAGGAAGGCCCTCTACTCCACAAAATATGTGCGACCCACTCCTCCACATAATTAGTGGGGCCCTCTGTTCCATAAAATCAGTGAAGCCCTCTGTTCCACAAAATCTAATGAGGCCCTCTGTTCCACAAAATTTGTCCGGCCCTCTGCTATACAAAATCTGAGGCCCTCTGCTCAACAAAATGAGTGAGCCCCTCCATTCCACAACATAAGTGAAGCCAAATAATAAAATAATATTTGCATTGTTTTATTATTTCCCTTATATGTGACTTTACCGAAAGAACCAACAATATGAATCCTTGCAGTCACGAAAGCTTTAAATCGAAATAAGTGAAGCCCTTTGTTACACAAAATATGAGGCCCTCTGTTCCACAAAATCAATGAAGCCCTCTGCTCCACAAAATATGTGAGGCCCTCTGTTCCACAAAAGCAGTGAGGCCATCTGATCCACAAAATCAGTGAGGCCCTTTGCGTGACAAAACCTGTGAAGCCCTCTGCTCCACAAAATCAGTGAGGCCCTCTGTTCCACGTAATCTGTGAGGCCCTCTGTTCCACAAAATCAGTGAGGTGCTCTGTTCCACAAAATCAGTGAGGCCATCTGATCGACAAAATCAGTAAAGCCCTTTGCGTGACAAAATCTGTGAAGCCCTCTGCTCCACAAAATCAGTCAAGCCCTCTGTTCTACAAAATATGAGGACCTCTGCTCTAAAAAATCAGCGAGGCCCTCTGTTCCACAAAATCAGTAATTCCCTCTGTTCCAAAGAATCAGGAAGGCCCTCTGCTTCACAAAATATGTGCGACCATCTCCTCCACATAATTAGTGCGGCCCTCTGTTCCACAAAATCTGTGAGGCCCTCTATTCTACAAAATGTAATGAGGCCCTCTGTTCCACAAAATTTATCCGGCCCTCTGCTCCACAAATGCTCAGGCCCTCTGCTCAACAAAATGAGTGAGTCCCTCCATTCCACAACATGAGTGAAACCAAATAATAAAATAATATTTTTATTTTCATTATTTCCCTTCTATGTGACTTTACCGAAAGAACCAAGAATATTAATCCTTGCAGTCACAAAAGCTTTAAATCGAAATAAGTGAAGCCCTTTGTTCCACAAAATATGTGAGGCCCTCTGTTCCACAAAATCAGTGAGGTCATCTGATCCGCAAAATCAGTAAGGCCCTTTGCGTGACAAAACCTGTGAAGCACTCTGCTCCACAAACTCAGTGAGGCCCTCTGTTCCACAAAATCTGAGGCCCTCTGCTCCACAAAATTAGCGATGTCCTCTGTTCCACAAAATCAGTGAGGCCACCTGTTCCACAATCTCAGTAACGCCCTCTGCTCCACAAAATCAGTAAGGCCCTGTGCTCCTCAAAATATGTGAGACCCTCTGCTCCACGTAATCAGTGCAGCCCTCTGTTTCACAAAATCAGTGAGGTCCTCTGTTCCACAAAACCAGCGAGGTCCTCTGTTCCACAAAATCAGTGAGGCCATCTGATCCACAAAATCAGTGACGGCCTCTATTGCACAAAATCTGACGCCGTCTGCTCCACAAAATCAGTGAGATACTCTGTTCCAAAAAATCAGGAAGGCCCTGTGCTACATGAAATCAGTGAGACCCTCTTCCAGAAAATCAGTGAGGCACTCTGTTCGACAAAATCAGTGCGGGCCGCTGTTGCACAAAATCTGACGCCGTCTGCTCCACAAAATCAGTGAGATACTCTGTTCCAAAAAATCAGGAAGGCCCTCTGCTACATGAAATCAGTGAGTCCCTCTTCCAAAAAGTCAGGAAGGCCCTCTGCCCCACCAAATTTGTTCGACCCTCTCCTCCACATAAATAGTGGGGCCCTTTGTTCCACAAAATCAATAAGGCTCTTTGTTCCACAATCTCAGTAATGCCCTCTGCTCCACAAAATCAGTGATTCCCCCTGTTCCAAAAAATCAGGAAGGCCCTCTGCTCCACAAAATGTGCGACCCACTCCTCCACATAATTAATGGGGCCCTCTGTTCCATAAAATCAGTGAAGCCCTCTGTTCCACAAAATCTAATGAGGCCCTCTATTCCACAAAATCTAATGAGGCCCTCTGTTCCACAAAATTTTCCCGTCCCTTTGCTCCACAAAATCTGAGGCCCTCTGCTCAACAAAATGAGTGAGCTCCTCCATTCCACAACATAAATGAAGCCAAATAATAAAATAATATTTGCATTATTTTATTAGTTCCCTTCTATGTGACTTTACCGAAATAATCAAGAATATGAATCATTGCAGTCACGAAAGCTTTAAATCGAAATAAGTGAAGCCCTTTCTTCCACAAAATAGGTGAGGCCCTCTGTTCCACAAAATCAGTGATGTCCTCTGTTCCACAAAATCAGTAAGGCCCTTTGCGCGACATAACTTGTGAAGCCCTCTGCTTCACAAAATCAGTGAGGCCCTCTGTTTCACAAAATCTGAGGCCCTCTGCTCCACAAAATCAGCGAAGTCCTCTGTTTCACAAAATCAGTGAGGCCATCTGTTCCACAATCTCAGTATTGCCCTCTGCTCCACAAAATCAGCGAGGCCGTTTGTTAAACAAAATCAGTAAGGCCCTCTGCTCCTCAAAATATGAGACCCTCTGCTCCACGTAATCAGTGCGGCCCTGTTTCACACAATCAGTGAGTCCCTCTGTTCCAAAAGATCAGGAAGGCCCTCTGCTCCACAAAATCAGTGAGCTCCTTTACTTGATAAAATCTGAGTCCGTCTGCTCCACAAAATCATTTAGGCACTCTGCTCCCCAAAACCTGCGGCCCTCTGCTCTATAAAATCAGTCAGGCCCTATGTTTCACAAAATCAGTGAAGCCCTCTTGACATGACAGCTTTACCATCGGTGCTGTGAACACCAACATTTAAAAGGGAACAAAAATTGGTTAATGTCCTGATGCAAGCGGTGAAGGTCGGGCTATCAGTAGAAGGGTTAGTATTGACTTGGCTGGCTTGTTCGTTCGGGGTAGGGCTAGCATGTTGAATGGTGAACTCTGGCCGCTGTAAATTTCTGGTATTTACAGTGCGCCCCCTCCCCATTCAAAGATAACTCAACAAGGAGTTGTGCTGAAGGGTAAATTCAGCAAGACAGTGTAAGGTGTGGGTGTGACTGCACAGGCACAACTTTGAGCCAAAGGGGTTGTAAAGCATATTCCTTGTCAATGGGGGTTTCCCCTGGATTTATTATTATACCTATGAAGGGTTCAAAGTCCGGAGATGTACGAGCTGCGTGGAATTGAGCGTCATCTCTGTGTTATCTGGGCCTGACGGTTATGTTCTTGTTTTCCATGGGTGCTATTTCATCCCGCAACGCAACACTGAATTGGCTAAACACCCCTTGCAGGATCCGAGTGGATATGAGTCATAGTGTAGTGTAACTGAGGCGCACACACACCGTTCTTGGAGGCAACGCGTTTATTAAACACTTTACTGTACACTGGGTTTTGTTACTAAGTGTGGCTAACTCTGGTTAGGATGCTCACTATGTGCGTGTCTGTTAGCTAGCTGGGTCCCCCAAAACGAACCCCGAATCCCCCTTACGCTCCCGCCATATCCCTTTGCCCCGGCCCCGCCCCTTACTGTATCAAGGCCACGTGTCCTTACCCGTCCAATCGAGACCTCGCTTCAGGCCACGTGCCCTTGAGTCGTCCAATCGGACCCACTTCTGGTAACGTGCCCCTAGCTCGCCCAATCGAGCACCGATTCTGGTCACGTGCCCTTAGTTCGTCCAATCGGACCCATTTCCGGTCACGTGCCTTCAGCGCGTCCAATCGAGTACTGCTTCCGGTCACGTGACCTTAGATCGTGCTACCCTCGGAGGCATCTGTGCATCTACATTAGATCCCACACCGGCCCAGGGTCCCCAACAGAGAGAATCGCCTCCCAACACTCCATTAAACGCAGACATTTGGACTGTTTTGTTTGCCTGTTGTTGTTTTTTTACGTTTTACATTTAAACTTGTAATATGAATCATGCTTATCAGGCATTGTAATAGGTAAAGGCACGGCTCACACCGCTTCTTGAAGATGGGCCTCTACTAGAGGTTGGCCAGATGTCTTGAAAAAGGTGCGAGTACTCACGCTTTACCCCACCATTTATACTTCTAGGTGGACAGTGGCATGGGGAGGGATTTAATTAACGTACCCATGGTTTCAACTGCCATGATGGCGATCTCTGGACTGCAAGTCCAGTGCCCTAACTATCACTGCACGAATCCATGCACCGTCAGGCGCCCTTAACGGTTGTGTGCTGGCTCTGCGATGTCTCGGCCTGCAGAAGTGGTGGAGGACCTCCTGAAGACGCTTGACCGGGAGCTCTTCGACCACCTCATGGACGAGGAGCTCGGGGGCCTCAACTTCTGCCACCGGTACGCCCAGTGTGACGGTGCCTTGAAATATCGGCGGCTCTCCGTTTGGGGAAAAAGGAGATGGTCCGGTTAAAAGGAAAGCACGGGTAATATTGAGCGTGAAAACGAGCTTAACACAGGTCTTCGCAGCAGAATCCTCACCACCCTTGCCCCCACCGTGCTGGATTACAGACTACGTGCATAGCCACCACCGCCCAGCTAATATAAGCAGCGCATGCACGTAAATTGAATTCAAGCCCGGTTAATTGGAAAACTGGATAATCCACACACAGACAGTCGTGGTTATCTGTTTAAGGGCCACAGTGAATTATTGACAAAATGGCCGACGCATATCACCTTGGTGATTTGCTCTGTCATTGGTGAGAGAGACCTCACCAATGTTTCTGCCAACAGTTACAAAGAAAGGAACATTCACGGCAAGTGGGCCCTATATCTTGTACGCATCATGACCATAAATCTTAAGTTCATTTTGTTTAACCACGTGAGAAACTCTAGACTAGGATGAGTCTTATTTAACAAGGCTGACCTGTGTCACCAAAAGTGACAAAACCAAAACAAATCAAATAAGATGCAGCAATGAAGCAAATAAAAATCGGACCAAAACAATCTTTCCTCATGATAAATACAAAATGTCGAACAAACATAAATCAGTGTAAAATTATTAATTCTCTGTAGTGCAGAGTCACCTCAGGATGATTATTTGTATACTGATGGTAGTAAATTAACACTGTTAAGAAAGAAAGAGCCATTGCCTTAAATGTCTCTTATTACATATTTTTCCTTTAAAGGCCACACGGTGATGTTATTGTATGTACGTTGAATTTTTTTCGCACCAACAGTGCTAATCGGAGGTGCGAGGGAAGGACAACAAAGTAAACTCAAAAATCAAGATGATTTAAAAGTGTGTAGCTCCAGTGGCTTCCTAATATTGGAAGAAAGAGCATTCCAGACGGCCGCAGAAGCGCATCTGAAAGAGAGTAATGCGGTGACCGTCTTTGTTCGATGGCTGGCCAAAAGCCTCTTGTAATTGATGAACGTGCAGTGAGTCCACACAACAACACAAACATAACAAATGCCCATCTAACCATGCTACGGCAGAACTAGACACGGTTCGCTATCCTGGTCTGGACCACAAGCTGGGTCCTGGACCGCATGGCGAGAGGCTTCTTCTCCCCGACGTGATTCTTCGAACACCAACACTTGAAGAACCCCGAGCTCCTCACGGAGCTTGCGTGATATGCTCCCGGTCTGGGGCTGGCTCCGCCCTTAGCCCCGCCCACCTTCCAGGCTCCTCGGGTTCCTTCTCGAATGTTCCCGAGAGCTCTCCGGGACCACGTGACCGCCCCTTGGCCTCTGTGCACCGGTGGCCCCCCTCCAGTATCGTCCGGTCACGTGACAACAGGTCAGCCAGAGTATCATGCCCCAGAGTAACCCTGGCTGGCTGACGCTCGCTCTCGTGCCCTCACTGGGAGCCGGCACCGCACACTGCTCACAGTGCCTTCGCGCTAACCTGTGGTCACCCAACCACCGCTAGTGTTGGTACTGCAGCCCGCAACCCGGGCTGCCTGCAATGACATTACCGGCCGTGACTTCGCAAGTCCCGGCAGCACACAGTGACAAGTACAGTCACTACAAACATGTAATTTGTTTTGGTTTATTTGTGCCTGTGCAGCACTTTCAACAGCAGCAGAACCAAATAACGTGTTTCATAGTAACAAAAAAATAACTCGCACAAACATAAAACAGATATAGAGTGACCATTGTAAAATATGTAAACAATTAATACTATAAACTTTTTTTTTATTTTACCAGGTAAGGCACACTGAGCTATATAGTCTAGCTCTTTTTCAGAAGCGACCCGACACAAATGATAGCTCAACGAAGTGGCTTATCTCCAACACACCAATGTGCTGAGCTAGTAATGAATTGACATGTTTTATATGTATGCAATATAACCCAGAAAAAAACTCTATTATGGCTTATCATGTGGACATTTATTAGCAGCCAAATACTCTAAACGCATATTTCTAAATGTGGAGGGAAAAACCGGAGGACCCGGAGAAAAATACACATGACCACAGCGAGAACATGCAAACTTCAAATATACAGCAGGCGTCAGGATCAAACCCACGACATCCCGCATACCAGGCGAGGTAGATAGCATCTCACCCCCCTCCTGCCATTTTATACGCATCATCATCCGTACCTCTTGGCTCCTGCAGCCACGTGGGTGGCAATGTTCTAGCCGCTGCACAGATAAGAGGTCTACCGTAGAGACACGAGCCACTCAGGGGAGACGTCCACTCAAGCCGTGAATGTGTGAGCGCCCTGTGTGGCTTGGGCTGAGATGCGAGGTCCCAGCTGATTGCTCTGCTATGCCACCAACACAGCATATAAAACGCAGCGAGGACATCACTAGGGGGAAACAATAGATTATAATCTGTGACACCACACATGTCAGTAACAGAACAGTGTATTACTTACACTCCATGTCAACCACGAGGCCTTCTGGGAGGTTCAATAACAAGAAAAACTCTGGACCGGTGTCAACATAGATTGTCTCACCAGCAGTGAGGTTTGCTTGAACCAGTGAGGTTGGATGGAAAATTATATTAATGCCTCATACAAAATAAGCATTCACATCATTATAGATAATATCAGTTCCAACATAAATAAGCAGATTATATATCTCCTTCATATATCTGTCCCTCCACGTAAAAAAAATATTTTTCACACTTCCAGTCAACCACAAGGACTTTGAGAGTGCAGCATTGGTTCAACACGTGACAGATGGCTGGGCTTGCTGTGATGTGTTTTTTTATAAATGCTTGTGTAGGCACGTAAGTAGCGTCCCTACGGGGTGTATGCGAGAAGCACCCACGATTGATATGAGTGAGGGCACGTACCTCTGCGGGGAGTTGACGGAGACGTCGCGGGAAGCGGGCCCTGCCTGGATGTGCTGGCTCAGGGGAGTTAAGGGGACCCGGATGGGAGGGCTTGGGGACATGTGACGCTGGCCCCTGTTCCTATCAAGAGACCGAGCAGGAGGCATGGCCGGGGGCAGCCCGGGGGCGAGGCTTGGGGGAGGGAAGAGGAACGGGGGCGAAGCGGAAGGCTCAGTCCAGCATGGGAAGCGATCGGTGCGGCGGCGCGGCAGGGAGCCCGGGAGATCGGCTAGAAGGGCTGAGGGTTAAGAGACCCCCTTCGAGGGGTCTAGAATAGATTCCCCCTTCCCCAGTGTTGCATTCTAGTGTTAAGCGTTGTGTTATCCCTAGGCTCGATGTTATAATAAAGTGTGGTGCCTCCAGATTTATGCGTGTGCCTCGTCCGACACATTACACTTGCACTTCACCTCAGGTTTGGGGTACATGGTCTGACGAACATTACAAGCGTGTACGCATAAGCGCTGTCCATCTGTAACGGGGAGACACGATAACGGTCGTGCAGACGATCCAATCTGGACACAACTTTCGTACAAAGTAGTGTTGTTACTCGGGACTTACCCTCTGAAAAACAGGCTCTAATTGATCAAAGGGTTATTGCCAAAAACTTGGGAGACACAAGGCAGAGAAAAAATAACTATCGGCAAATATGCAAATGCATTTTGTCCTGATAGCTACACGTCAGGTTCTCTACTGCACATGGGAAAGCGTCACGTAATAATGCGTGTTCATGGTTTCTCCTTCCTTGCGTTTGTTGTCGTTGTCGTTATTGCCGCACAGGTGGCTGCTGCTGGGCTTCCAGAGGGAGTTCCCGCATGACGAGGCCGTGCGCCTCTTTGAGATCCTCAGCAGCCACCACCTGGAGCTCACGTCACTGGAGGCCGACAGGGTGCGGCACCAGACGCGCATCTCAGGCATGCAGAATCAGGGTAAGGGCAGACGTGGACAGCGCCCACGGCATCGCACACGGCCACTGATACCAAGGCACAGACGACTCATGGTGCCACGATGATGAGGTCACTGTGACGGAGGTGGGGGAGTGGAGAAGCATGGGGAGGCAGGGAGAGGAGCGGTGAGAGTGGGAGTTAGGGGGTGGAGGCATGGTCCCAATATTTCAACTTTTTAAAATAGTTGGCAGAACAAAAAAAACATTTTCAATTTATTATCTATGATAAATCTGAATAGCCATAAAAGACCTATCTTGATTTGAAGCGTCCGTGACTGCAGGAATCCACACTCTTTGGTTCTTTCGGTAAAGTCACGGAGGTGGAAAAATAATAGATCACGTTTCGATCGCAACACAAGCAATCCTCTTCAAGTGGGACAACCACAGCAAGAAAAAAACTGCTGAAGTAGAAAAACGTCAGCAGTTTTCTCTTGCTGTGGTTGTCCCACCTGAAGACGTTGCTATCGAAACATCGTGATCTATTATTTTTCTACCTACGTGACTTTACCAAAAGAACCAAAGAGCATAAAAGACCTGTTTTCTGAGTTTCAAGGTGGGAGGATGGGGGGGGGGGCTGTGATCACCCCCATCACTCCTGCCTTGGATCCACAACTATGTCTCACTCCTTGCCACCAGGTGTAATCCCCTGTGCTGGTATTTGTCACATTTCCTTTTGGCTTGCAGTATCACAGCAGTCTAGGTTGGGATAAATCCTGCTCCACCGGATGGCACTGAGCCATTTACTCGTGTTTTCTGGTCATGGATTGTTAAGAGCATCGCATGTGTATCGCTTATTTCTGTACAAATGTTATCTCGTGGTGTCATGGTGTCACAGTGGCGCCTGTATATTTGGAGTTTGCATGTTCACCCCGTGTTAGTGTGGATTTCTCTCCGGGTCCACACCAGTGTTTTCCTCCATATTTAGAAACATGCTTTTTGAGTATTTGGCTACTATATATTTCCACATGATAAGCCACTTCGTTGAGCTCTCATTTGTAGCCAGGTCGCTTCTAAAAAAGAGATAATTAGCTCAGTGGGCCTTACCCGGCAAAATAAATAATAGTTTAGTTTATAGATTAGTCTCTCGAAACCTATATCAACTTGACTAAAGCAAGCCTGACTGCTGATGAGAAAGTTGTATTGAAACCGGTCCAGAGTCAATGGAGGAATGTTTAACATGCTGGTAGAAACCAGAGCACCTGGAATAAACCCACGCATGTGAGGGGGCAACCCAGAAAGCGTGCAACATATATCCAACGTTAGCGTGTGGTTAGAACCAATGTTCCATATTTACTGGGAATGCTCTATCCCAGGAGTCGGCAACCTGCAGTTTTGGAGCCGCCTATGGTTCTTTAAGGGCCGGCTTCGTGACGTTATTCATGAAGGACCACTGTCTCGTATTTACACACATCGTGGCTCTTCTTGCCATTTTGGTTGCCGACCCCTGCTCTATCCCATACGGAGGGGAACAGATGGGAGCCAACCTTGTATAGCTGGGCCACCTTCCCAGTTTGCGACGAATGCGCGACCCTAACCATGGGGCCTCATCGCCGCTCCTAATCCGCCCATGTGCGTGCGTGCGTCCGTCCGTCACTCCATCCACGTGTCACCACAGAGGGCCTAGTGCGGCCTGAGCTGCCATCGGTGAACGCCGACTACACATACGAGCTCTTCGTGTGCGCCTGCATCCTGCTGGAGAACCGGCCGGCGCTCATGGCCTGCGATGACATGATGTCCATCGTCGAGTTCAGCAACAGGTGACAGGCAGCAGCAGCAGCAATAGCAATGGTAGCAATAGCAACATCAATAGTAGTCGCAGCAACAGAGGTGGCAGAAACAATGGTAGCAACAACAGCAATTGCAAGAGCAGCAGTAGCTGCTCATTGTCATTTTCATCGTAGTGTATTTCACGCATCAACATACTCATATACTACCGTGCTTCTCATCAACTCATCTGGTCACACTTCTGCTGTACAAATAATTAATTATTTGTTCGGCACCTTAATCAAGGCGCTAAGTAACGGAAAAATAAGATGGGATACGTAACAGCAGTCGTAGAACTAGCAGTAGCAACAGCAGAAATAACTGACGATTCTGTTGCTCCGTTACACATCTCGTTTTGATCATCCAATGAATATGAGCGCCACCCTGCTGCTGGTATGTGTGCGTTTGACTACCGACCCACGCCCGGTGAAACCGACTGGCCAAAAATGCGCACACAGCTCCTGTTCAGCAGTTGCCAGCGAATAATATAGTGCTCCACTGGGGAGTGTTAAGGGGAATTAATCAGTTCTACATTGGCGGCATTGTAGCTACCCTTCTGCTAGGATCCAGCTGGTTAGAAGTGTATGGTAAGTCTACGCTTAGTGCGTGTTCACGCTATAAAGCGTTTTCGCAAAAAACGCGGTTCTTCTATTAGGGAACACTTTTTGCACAACGTGGAACATGCACCATTATAACGCGGAACGTGAACCATAACAAAGAACGTGCACCGTTATAACGTGGAACGTGCACCGTCATAACGCATAACATGGACCGTTATAATGTGGAACGTGCACCATTATAGCGCGGAACACGCAACGTTATAACACGAAACACGCATCGTTATAACATGGAACATGCACCGTTATAACGCGGAACGGGCCCCATTGTAACGCGCACCGTTATGACACGAAACGGGCTTCATTGTAATGTGGAACGCGCACCGTTATGACGTGGAACGGGCACCGTTATGATGCGGAACGGGCCCCACTGTAACACGGAACACGCACCATTATGACGCGGAACGTGCACCATCATAACGCAGAACGTGCATCGTTATAATGTGGAATGTGCATCGTTATAACGTGAACGTGCACCATTATAACGCAGAATGCACAGCATTATAATGCAGGATGTGCGCTGTCATAACATGGAATGTGCACCATTATAACGTGGAACATGCACCGTCATAACACGGAACGTGCACCATTATAACGCAAAATGCACACCATTATAACGCAGAACGTGCACCGTTATAACGCAGAACGCGCATCGTTATAACGTGGAATGTGCGTCGTTATAATGTGGAACGTGCACCGTCATAACGCGGAACGTGCTCTGTTATAACGCAGAAAGCGCACAGGTTATAACACGGAATTTGCACTGTTATAATGCGGAACATGCACAGCCATGATGCAAAACTTGCACCGTTATAACACAGAAGTGCACCGTTATAACGTGGAACGCGCCTATTATAGTGCAGTTTATGAGCTCTCATAGACAAACTACTTTCTTGAGCTGCGCAGCTGAGCTGTACGGGAATTCTGGGTATGTGCATGTGTAAAAGCCTACGTGTTAAACTGCATGTGTAAAGACGACTTAACACTTCTTTTGAGATGGCACTTTATTGAAGACACGTTCACTTGACACAGGCAGAGAAACCCCACTGCAACAGTCCCGAATTTCCTGCGCATCTCCCTTATATACGGCCTGAGGCCACACCCCCCTTCCCAAACCTTCTCGTTGACTCTGGATGCTTGCTCCACCAGCAAATTTTACCGTCCTCTTCCGTCACCTGACCGTACTCCCTTCTCGATCATTCCCATAGCCACCAGTCTCTTCGCACTCACAGCTGACACCCCTGTCATTACCTCCCGTGGCCACTAGTGCATTCGCACTGTAGGCTGGCTCCCCTGTCATTACCTCTCATGGCTGCTGGTCCACTCACACCGCAGGTAGACTCTACTGTCATTACATTACCCCCCCTCCCCCCCCTTAAAAATGTAACCATCCTGGCTAATAGCAAGATTTAAGAAAAAGACAAAAACTTGACAATTAGGGGAGAATGATAAAACACATCGAAAAGAACCCGCCGCTCAACTGTAGAAACCAACAACAATTCAATAACAACCACACCGGGGTACACACAAAAAATGTTTGGCCTTGGGAATCGAAAGTCTACTTCATGGTTTGGAGAGCCGCTATCGCAGCCGTAAAGTTCTCGACCGGGTCCTTGACGTCGGACCATCGCATGTGGTCGGAGTCTTGTGGGCCTCTGAGAGGGTCGCACCCTATGGGCGGCACAACGCATTTACCGGGTTGCACAATTACTTTGGACGACTGCCCTGGCACATCGGACACACCAGACCCCGGCCGCACAGGATATGGAGATGAGATGTCTGGGCGAGAATGGACGTATGGTTTGAGGTGCGATGGGTGGACAAACCAATGGCGATGCCCTGCCTGTACTCGCATGCACTGAGGCCGCTTCACTTCCACAATCTCGACCAGTCCCCGCCACAGGTTGGTGCAACTTAAGTGATGTCCGCAGCGGCACCTGTGGACAATGCAGCCACTCTCTATCACCGACAGCCCAAGCACGTGCTCGCGCCGCCCTGTGCTCTTCTCATTAGCGGCTTGTGCCTTGGCAGTATTTTCGCTAACCGCAGCACTTGCCTCTGACACCCGCCCGAGCGCAACCTGCAGTGGCACAGGCACGTCCCGTATTTGTTTCCCTGAAGCCGTACCCAGTTGAGCCTCTGGGGGGCTCTTGCTCTCGCCCGTACATTAGAAAAAAAAGGAAAAACTCTATAGAGGTGTGTGGAGCTATCCTGTACGCTGCCAGAACCCCTGTTTGTGCCTCATTCACTGCTTGACAGAGCATATATGTTATCGTACTATTCAAGCGTTCTACCATTTCAATTGTTTGAGGTTGGTATTGGGACGTCAGTGAGAAGCTGTTCTGAGGCACCCTTGTCCAACACGTAGCTGTGTAGGAACGCATCAGCAATAGATGCAGCTGTTTGGTCTGGTAACGGCCAAGCCATTGGCCAACTGGTAAAATAGCTAGCGCGACCAATTTATTGATATGGAACACCGTGATGGACTGCGAGGGGTGCTGAGATTTTTGCAATGGGAGCTTCCGGCACGCGAACTCCGTGCAACCCGCGACTAGGTGATGGACATCGGTCGACATTCCAGGCCAGTAAAAATCTCGCTGCAAAGCCAACAGCGTCTTACGACATCCAAGGTGCAGTAGCTTAGTGTCATGCACCGCACGCGTCAGCTTACCCCATAGGGAAGTGGGGACCACCAGGCACCGATGTAGGGTGACCCCATCCAACCGCATGAAAAGTCCATCTTGGATAACGAACTGCGAGACTCCAGCCGAAGTAGGGGTATCCCGATTTGTTTACGCGCGACGCCGCAAAGCCATCAATGAACCATCCTCCATCTGCAACTGTCCCTATTCCGCATTCGTCAGCCCCAGTGTGCTGTCTCTATGCACATGCATCGCGGTAGGCTCTGCTTCCCCCAGCGAAGCCACGACTGCTGGCGACACAGATGGTTTACACCACGCCCCGCCCGACACACATGCACACATTTCCTAATGATGCAGCAGAGATAACACGTCCGTATTATTGTGTCTCGCTCCCTTCCTATAGACCACTTGGAAGGAGTACTCTAATAGTATTTCCAGCTAGCGTGAGAGCTGGCTGGAAGGTTGGTCTACCCGCAGAGAGTACTGCAGGGCCGCATGGTCAGTGCGGACCACTAAGTCTCTGTCATAGAGGTAGGGCCTGTATTGTTGTATAAAACAGACCATTGCCAGCAGTTCCCTTTGGGTAACACAATACCGCTGCTCAGCCGGAGACAGAACGCGACTACCATAGGTGATGACCCTTTCGACTCCATTCTTTACTTGAGACAGGACAGCTCCTATACCTAGGTCACTCGCATCCGTGTCTAAGATGAAGGGCAGAGAGAAATCAAAGGGGGTGCGTTGGAGAGGCAGTCGCGTAATGCGACAAATGCAACCTCTTCCTCCTCTCCCCATTTGAACTTCTGGTTCTTCGCAGTCAATGCATGCAAGGGCTTTGCAATGGTCGCGGAATGAAGCATCGATAATAGGACGCGAACCCGCCCATACGCCGTTTTGTCGGGGTCTGTCACTATTCAGGAGGCGCTCACAATGTGTCCCAAGTACCGTACAGTGGATTGCAATAATTGACATTTAGTGTGCAAATGCTCCTCGAATGTACGACCAAACACGATCACATCATCCAAATAAATGAAGCACGAGTCCCATTGCAGTCCTACCAGAACCAACTCTATGAGCCTGTGGAACATCGCAGGTGTCGAATGCAACCCGATTGGGAGATAATTAAACTGATACAGTCTGTCAAGCATACGGAATGCAGTTTTCGGTTTAGATGACTCATCCAGGGGTAATTAATTGCCAAAACCCGGACAGCAAATCTAGCTTAGAAAAAAAACTAGCACCCGACAACACGTCCAACGAATCATCCATACGTGGAAGCGGGTATACATCAGCCACCAATACCTTGTTCAGTTTACGGAAGTCAACACAGAACCTCAGACTGCCATCTGACTTTGTCACCAGCACCAGAAGGGCACCCCAAGGACTGGGCGACGACGAAATGATATCCACCACCAACATCTCGTCCACCACCTGTTTCACATGTTCATTCTCCACCTGACTCATCTGATATTAGTTCTGGCGAATAGGGGCAGCGTCTCCCGTATCAATGTGGTGCTGCAAGTATGACCGATGTTGAAATTGCTCTTACTGAAAACGTCTGAAAACTGCAGCAATTGTGCTTTAGACAAATAGGATTCCCATCACAAAGGGTTTTTGCCCACGATTCATCTGACTCGGCTCTCTCCTCCACCGCTCCCGCGATATCTGTCGCCGCTGGGTCTCCCGCCTCGCAACATGTGGGCATCGCATGAGCCAACACAGTACCCGCTTTGA